AAATGTATTATATTTGAGGAGGAAGCATAAAAGTTTATGTCATGTTAATTAGTAGAGGTGATAAACATTACCATTGAAATCTACCCCATGACTTTATAGACATACACAGGCGCCAAGGATCCAAGTGCAACCGATTATGAGTAATAATAATCAGATACATACAGATTAGGGATTCATGCGCCAACATCTCAGTGTTAGTATCAAAAACAATGAGTCTCTCTGCAAGGAACAATTTATTCTAAAATGAAATGGAGATCTTTTTTAAAGGTTAAAAACTCATTCAATTTTATATCTTACAGGGCTTATACTGAGTTCAATATTGTATAGCTGTCTTAATTCAACTGTGAACCTCGCAAGTTACAGCCACTTGTGAAAGAGATGTACTCTTGCTCTTGAGTGTGTTACTGAATATGTTAAAGCTGCAGTGAAATGCTTTTTCTAATCATGTAGTTATTAAAAATTAAAAAAATATAAGTAATGATAAAAAAGCACAACTGTTGAGACATTCCTTGCTTACTGGAAGTTAGGAATATTAGCTATCCCAACAAACGTAAAAAATACTTCAAATGTACTCAAGCTTTGGTGATAGGTAATGTGAACCAAAAAGCAAGATTTGCAAAAGTTTGAACTTAACTAGTATGTTAAAACTACATTCAAGGGCTAGAGAGATGACTTAGCGAGTAAGGACGCTTGCTGGGTAGACTTGATGCGCTGCCTAACCTTGCCTCAAATTCAATCCTGGGAACCCACATGGTGAAGAAGAGAACTGACTCCCTCAAGTTCTCTGACCGCCACATGTGCACACTGGTGCCCAAATTTACACACACACACACACACACACACACACACACACACACACACAGACACACACACACACACTTAAAAGATTCAAGAATGTCAGAACTACAAGCTATTTTTAAAACCTCTCTAGTTCACGTTTTTCATTTTATTGATGAAAAATATGTGGCTCAGGGTGATTGAAGATTTCCATAAAGTCGTATGAATTCATTAGTAGAGGGAGAGGTACAGCAAGGATCCCTGCTCCAATTTTATTTTTCTTTCAACTTCTTCACAAAGTTGCCTACTTGATAATTTCCCAAGGTAATCAAATTGGGACACAATAGGAGCATCAAGACATTCCCAAATAGAATCTTTACTTACCTGGTATTTTTCTTTCACATATTGAAACAAGTAATCTTATTTTAAATAGAATTTCAAATCTATTTTAAATAGAATTTCAATAAATATGAAGGCATGTGTGTAATTTAAAGCACACTGTAATCAGCATCATAAGATATTTGAACTTCAGCTCTCCCTGCTCTCTTAAACTGACTACTATTTAGCACCGGTGGAAAGTTCTGCAGAGGAAAGTATCATTAAGGGCAGCTTTGAAGATATCGACTTATTCCTATAGGTCAGGTGACACAGTCTGAGAACAAAAGAGGTGTTAAGTTGCATGGGCCTGCGCTTTAATATTACCCCCTGGCACTGTTCAAAGAAAACTGCAACAAACAATTACACTTCTTTTATCAAAACAACAACAAAACAACAAGAGTAGCCCAGTGTGGTGGCAATTGCCTTAATCCCAGCCCTCTGAAGGCAGAGAGATCTAGGCCAGGCTGGTCCACATACTGACTTCTAGGCAGGCTGGGACTAGGGAGACTCTGTTAAAGGAGAAAAAAAAAAAATTAAAGGCACCTTTTATCTGTATTGTTCTATAATTTTAAAAATATTTTAAAATATTTGTATTTTATGTGCGTGAGCATATTGCCTGCATGTGTGTAAGTGCACCCATGCCATGCAGTGCCTGCAAAGGTCAGAAGAGGGTGTCGATTCCCTAGAACTGGAGTTACGGATAGTTGTTAGCCACCATGTGGGTACTGGGAATCGAACATGGGTCCTCTGCAAGAGCAGCCAGTGTTCTTGACCATTAGGTCATCTCTCCAGCTCCCTGTTCTATAATTTTAAGAAAGGACAAAAATAGTTTAGAATCTGTATCAGAAAAAAGCGTTCATTCAAAAAAGCAACATATAAACTTTACATTGAATAATCATAATCATAATCATAAAACTTATTACCTTTCTGTGCAGCTTCTATAAAGTGCAGAAATAAATGTAAAATGAGCCTCAGTTCTAGTATATAAGCATAAATTTAGGCCATACTTGTTTTTTCCTTTAAAAATTATTCTAACAAATGGCATTTTCTACAAGTGTCTTACTGCAAGACATCGCAAATACTTTTAAAGTTGTAGTGTGGGTAAGTTTTGAATAAGTCTACGAAACAGTTCCTTTGTCTTGAAGTACTGAATGGGATGTCTATGTTTGCTAATCATAAGTACAGGGGTTCTGAGATGCACAAAACCTGCTCCTGAATTCCGAGGACCGCAGGCTGTAGGAATGACGGCCAGCCTTAAAGCTCCTGGATGTGGTTCTGGGATCAGAGGATATGTCCAAACAAATGTCATCAGACAGCATATTCTACCCAAATATCTATTCTATCCTCAACCCTCAAAGTGTAATTATCAAGTTAGTAATGTGGACATTTGTTTAAAAGATATTTTATTTTGAATCAATAGCTTAAACATTGATAATCTAAGATTTTTTTATGAGTGTAATAATTTGGGGTAATTGTTTTTGTTAACATTTTCTGAGTTTTCATAAAAGCAACTCATGTTCATGGTAGAAATGAGTAACATTAGAAAACAATAAGAGCAAATTACAATCTCCACAGACCCTGGGTTCATTTTAGACAATTTGACTCAATGTATAGTCTAGGTTCTTGTTCTTTGTATTTGTTGGTACATACTGAGAATTCCTAGGGACTAGATTCTCTTCAATAGCAAGAGTTTTATGCAACATGTTACTGCGTGATTTATTTAACAATTATTCTATTGTTGGACATCTATTTTCACCTTCGTTTTCTTTAGTAAACATAACACTGATCTGCATTCCTAATAATAGCAATCATAACATTTAGTGAACACTTATTGAATATATGCTAAGTCCTGTAAAGTTTACTTTGATGAATTCTTTAATCTCACAACAATCCTGTGCAGAACTATTGTTCTTTTACAGACGAAAAGCTGAAGATTACAAGCTAATTAAACTGGCACTGCAAGAAAAAGGATCTAACTTCTAATTCATCATTAACTCTTCCAATCTGTATTTTCATGAATAAAAAGGGCTATTTAATTCACATTTACTATTGAAATATGCAATTATTGAATTTAAAGCAAGAAATTTGAAGTTTTCCTTCATTCCTTTCTTTCATATACATTTATAAACTAAATATATAATATGACCATTAAATATAATCCTATGTATTTAAATGAATAAATTTTGACCATATTGCGTTGTCTTTATTTTGTGGTCCACAGAAAACTGTAGGAACACAGTCTCCAGAAATTTTTTTCATTCTCCTTAGTGGACAGAAAACCACTGAAATTCAAAGGAATAAACAAGAGCTGGTGTAAATTCTGAACTTTATGGTGATGGGATACACACAGTGTTCATCTCTTTTCAAACACCTAAAGAAATGAGTCTAGTTAAATTAGTTGGCTCCGCCTCATCTGTTGTAATGAATAGACGATTTGCAATTAACAAATTGATGACATACAAAACAAAACTACTTCTAATCACCTTAATGATAGTTGGTTTCACTTAAACAGTTCAAACTACTATTGCTGAAAGTGCTTTGGAGATAGTGTCAAACCAGAACTTAAAGAATTCAGAATGAAATTAAATTTCATAGTGTTTAATGACTACAAAATGTATCAATATCTATCATCTATCATCATCATCTATCATCTATGTAATCTATCTACCTACTTACCTATCTTATTTATCAATCATTTACCTACCAACCTACCTACCTATATAGCTCCATCTATGACCAAATCGTACCTAAACCTGAGGAATTAACTTGATTTTATGAACACTCTAGAGCTAAAATCTATTGACTTAGGTACCTACTGGTGGGTCAAGGAACAAAACCAAAGCTAGAAATAGCAAAACCGGAAAGTTTAGTCCCAGTTTCATATAGGTAAACGAAAAATTAAAGGCTTGATAGGTGAATCAATACAAGAAGGGCCCGGTGTGGGGGTGGGGGTGGGGGGTGTAAGGGGCTGATTTCCAGAAAGCCTGCTCAAAACTTCCATGGAGTTAACTTTTGCTTTTCTAGGTGTATGTTGTCACCTAGAGAGAAGCCGACGATTCTAGATCACCTTCCTGTCCGCTGGCCCAAGTTGCGGCCTCGGTCTAGGACCACCCAGGAGTCCCGCAGCCGCCCCCCGGACTCTGGGCGCCCTGTAGCGTCGGGTCCCACCCGAGGTGGGCATGGCTTTGGAACCCTCGCCCTCCGTCAGTAGCAGCAGCAGGAGGAGGAGGAGGAGGAGGAGGGAGAGGAGTAGCAACAGCAGCGGCAACTGCATCGCGAGGCGCGGACACTACGGATCCCCCGCGGGGAAGGAGGTCCCTGAGGGCCCCCAGGGGTCCCCAGGCCAGGGCAGGCCGGGTGGGGGCGGGGCGTTGCTCAGACGCGAACCGCGCGCGTCCCTGGCAGCCGGCCGCCACGTCAAGGTTTGGTTAATAATCGCGGGGTATTTATGGCCCCGCTGGGGAGCGGCGGCGGGGGAGCCGGGAGAGCCTGGCAGCAGACAAGGCTCCGTGGCTGCGGCTCAGGGCTCCGCGCCCCCCGCCACCCCCGGACCCGAGCTGGAGGATGGAAATTCCAGCTGCGCTCTGAGCCTCCGCAGAAGATAGCACCACCCAGCCGGTCACAACACGCAGTCCCGCCCAGATCTCATTCTTAGTGCGCGATGGCAGACAACCTGAGGATGCTGGTCTCAAGCGACTGTTTATGGAGCCTGCAGGAAAAGCTCAACTCCTGGTTGAGGGACTACAACGTGAGTCTGGGTGGGAGGCCCGGGACTCTCCGTATCACTCCCCCGGTACAGCCTCGACTGGGGTCTCTTGGGGCTGGCGTCGGGGATGCCACTTCGCAAAGCCTCCTCTCTGGAGACCCTAACAGGGACCCCAGCCTCAGACCTGGATCAAAGGCAGGTGGGCACGAGCCTATAGAAGCCCTTTACCCGCCGTTGGGGTGACTTCACTGCCTTAGAAGAGCTCGAGGGCCGGTGGGTAACCAAGGACGCCAGCAGCCCTAGCAACGGAAAAGCCAAGTGTGGCTCAGCTAGCCCCTCCATTCTCTCTAGCCACACACCACCTGCTTAGAAATTAATTTTCACGGCACCCCCCACCCTCTTTTACGCAAGCCTCCCACTTTAAGGTTACCCAGCGTCGTACCAGAGTGAATTCTTACAAACTTACACCCAGGAATTACATTACAGCGAAAGGGACACGTGTAAACTTTGTGCATTTCATTTGTTCGTATGGCAATTCATGAAGGTACCAAAGCAGCGTAAATTATTCAGTCACGTATGTCACACCCTGAAGCACGTTCCAAATCCCATTAATTCTCACCCCACCTTGGCTCCTTGTAATAGCCCCGTGTTGGATTTGCTTAACATTAATGGTCTATGTGTCTTAAATTGGAGGCTCTGATTTTTTTAAAAAAATTATTTATTTGATATACATATAATTAGAAGCATTTCATTACAACAGCATTGACATATTCAATAACAATTTCCAGAGCTAAGATGCATCTCTTTCAAAATTGGCTGTAATTTTT